ATAGATTTTCAGTACACAAGGTGTTGGATGATGAAATGCATATCATATGCTTGAACTACCAACTTCTATATTTTTTCTTGTTAATAAGATTTTCATCTTTTTTGCTTATACATATTTTCTTAAAAAATTAGTCATATGTCACATGTACTTCTAAAAATTGACAAATGAATAAATGTTTAAAAAATTTAAAATACGGTACCATGGTGTAACCTTTGTGTGGCGAGGTGTAAGCCCAAGATGGTCCAATCAGGGGCGGACCTACATGGGGCCCAGTGGGGGTAGTTTCCCCCTTTGGATTTTTGAGCAAAAAATTTCTTATGAATGAGGACCTGGAGGCTAAATGATTTTTTGATGGCTACAGTGATTGTGGTGGAGATGGATGAGAGAAATATACAGAAAGGATAGGACTTAATGGCGGCAACACAAATTAGAAAGAGAAAGTAGAACACACACACACACGTAAAAAAAAAAAAAGAGGATAGGGTTTAATGGCGGCAAGCTGGCATCGCAAATTAGAAAGAGAAAATAGAACAGACACACATGCATATGTGTGGCAAACACAAATATATAGACAGATACCTAAGAGAGATGCTGATTATGAACTTTTCCATGATGTGATTTAGCGGCGGCAACACCAATAGAAGCTATGAAATTGCAATTGTAGTTTCGCCAGAGTCTGCGAATGCAATCTGTTATTGTGGCAAATTGGACACTGAAGTCAGAGTGGTAGAGGTAAGAAAAGATAGTAAAGTTGGAGAGAGAAGAAAATATGGGTTTATTGATATAAAATTGCATGCATACACAAGGGGTATGTTTTACACTTTATGGTATTGTATGTTGGGGTTGAAGTTACAATGAGTAAAGGAAGGTTCAAGTGAATTGAGAAGTTAACGATGTGTATTTGACTAACTACTTTCTAACTAGACCTATTAACTAGTAAGTTAACTAATTAAGTGAAAAAAAATATTCAACAAAAAAACAAAGAATAAAATAATTAGCTTTAATAGTGTTGTCATTATCTGCTGCTTGTTATTGTCCTTCCCTTTTTCCTTTCCTGCATGTAGAAAATAGAAAAAAAAAACAACCAATAAAATAATTTAGGCTATAAAGAAATAGCCCAAGAAGCTAAGGGCATTAATAACATTTCCAGAAAATGCAAGGCAAATGGGCAAACATCGTAATCACCTTGAGGTGTAAGCCTCACGAATGACACTTAAGGGGCGGGTTTCGAGGCATTTCATGAAATCCTCACGTGAGGCAGGATTCGCGGTGTGAGCCATAAACAGTGTTTTTAAACAATGCAATATCGGTCATATCAATATGCTAACAGTATGGATGTCTCCGAGTTTCACCTTCTGCTCATTGGTGTGCTGATTCATTTTTCAGATCCGTCCATTGTGGAGACATTACTTCCAGAATACTCAGGGACTCATCTTTGTGGTCGATAGCAATGACCGAGATCGTGTTGTTGAAGCAAGGGATGAGCTGCACAGGATGTTAAATGAGGTAATAAAAAATCCAAATCTCATTTCATAAAATGCATGGGATATTCACTTGAGAATTAAAAAGGAAGCCAGGTAAAGGGGGAATTTGAATAAGGTTACAAATGAAATTTATTTTCCACTACACAACATAAGCCAGAGTGAATGACAGATTGATATCTGAACATCTGAAGCTTGTAGAATAAGATTTAGCATTTTTCTTATCATTTTTTCTGGTCTTTTCTTGGTCATTACTTCGTTTTCCCTATGCAGGATGAATTGAGGGATGCTGTGCTGCTTGTATTTGCCAACAAGCAAGATCTTCCGAATGCCATGAATGCTGCCGAAATAACCGACAAGCTTGGCCTTCATTCTCTCCGCCAACGCCACTGGTAAATAAACCATAAACCGTTCTGCCTTTTGTCTCTCTGAATATAGATTAGGCATCTCAATATAAAACTACTAAAAAATTATGGTGTTAAAAATGCAGGTATATTCAGAGCACATGTGCTACTTCTGGTGAAGGACTGTACGAGGGACTGGACTGGCTCTCTAACAACATTGCAAACAAGGTGCGTCTTGCAAATTCTTTACGCATTCCAATTGTTTGTTTACAAGTATGAACACTTTTTGAGTAATTCTAGCCTTGCCTGAAACTTCATTAATTGCAATTTGCAGGCATAAGCTTTTCGTTCTTTGTTTCCCAATCAAAGGTTCAACAAGGCGGCAGTGCTAGAATAGGCTTTCAATTGATTTTTATCTTGTACTTCGACTGAAATGTTATGATGTAAACTTGATTGCTTTTTCGAAAAGATAGCCATCTGTTTCTTATTCTGAATAAGTCGTGGATTTTTGTTAATTTTGCTCCTTTCGTTATGAGCGAAGATTAGATATCACGAATTCTCCATGTTTTTCTAGAAATTGGAACTTTTGCTTCCAGGACATTCTTTTTCTTCTTGACGGGCACATGCATTTTATCTACATATTAAGGGAAATATTCGGCTATCCTTCTCAAAACAGATGAAGATTTGTTGATTTATTTGCAGTGCTCTATAGTATTTTAGTGAAGCTTTTTATACTTGCTTCTCTCAAATGTTCTTGTAGTTCCTCGATGAACGAGAATTTAACTTTCTAATATTTAATTTCTTTTTATTTTCATTGAATGCACGCTACCTTAGTAATAGATGAGAATGATTACATATGTATGGGTGGACAGTGGACTGGTTTCTTGGTCCTTGGCTGGTACATCTGAATTCTGAGGCACGAGAAGTTTAGGGGGCGTTCTCTTTGTATTTCAGTTTTGTATTTTGAGTTTTGAATTCGTTTTGTATTTTGTGTTTTGAGTGTCTGTTTTGAAATTTCTGAAAATGCGTTCTTTTTGCCATTCTGAAAAACTGTTTCCGAAAACATAAAAATGGAAAACTCGTTTACTTTGAAATTTTGAGAATTTTTTAAATAATATTTTATTAAAAAAATCTGATTATTCAATAAATTTTAATGGTTTAATGTTAATATAGTATTAAATAATATTTAAATTTTGAAATTGGTGAATCTTGAAATAAAATTTTTTTTTCTAGATATAAAAAATACAACCTAAATTAAATTTGACAAGTCCTTGTTTTTGTCCTTGTACATAACTTGTTACAAAAATTAACTAGCATCAGGTTACAACCAAACCTAATCAAGTTGCAAAAAAAGGAGCACTAATCTCAAGTTGATATGGTAATAAATATTTTGAAATCAATCTTATCGAGATCAGATATTCATATTGATGACATTTGGTGTCATATTCATTTGGTGCATGTTTGGTACTCAATATTTGAAAAAAAATGGACAATATTATTAGCAATATTTCAGGTCATTTTTCTTCCTTAATACTTCCTATACTGTATTATTCTCGTACTACTAATATCATTTCCAATGATTCAAAAAATATCTAAAGCTCATTTAATTAAATATATGTAAATTTTATGTTTTACCATCCTAAGCAAGAATGTGAATCAACGATGGTAAGGAATCTAATACTGAATTTGCTATTACAACTCTGCAATGCATTAATCCAATCCCAACTGATTTAATCATGAAACACTAGAGAAAGTTGCCTTTTCATTGGAAGCAAGCAAGTTCACCAGCTATAAACGAAATTCAGTAGTTCCCAAGTATAGATTGCTGTGTTCTAAAATGAACTACAAGAATTACTATTCTTAATTGAAGTCAAGAGTCATCATCAGCAACATCACTGATTGAATATTCAGCCGCATCACTGTCCAAATCTACAGCTGCAGTAGCAGCATCTTCAGAATCATCATCACTTAGAACATATGTAGCTTTCCTACTGTTAGCCCTCTGTGGTCTGGCTCTTGTAACCACCACTTGGTTACTCTCTTCTATACCGGCTGAAGTTGGAGACTCCTCTTCCTCCATTGTGGCCATTCTTCCCAACACTGAACCACTTTTCTTGTTAAATGGAGATATCCTCGTTTTCCTTAGTTTTTTTCTCAGGGATCAAAGTCAGCTTTGCAATCTGAAAGAAATATGTTAAACATAACATTATCTAGGCATATTAGAAAATTGATGAAAGAAGCTCAAGCTTAAATCACAATTATGAAATATAAAGTTAAACATACAAATTACATTACCATCTTGCAACTCTTCAAGGTAAATATAAATCAGCTTCAGGCAATTGCATTCGTTTCCATTAAGTCAAAACACTCTGGCCCCCAACTTTGAATGATCAATTCAATTGATAAAATTTCAGAAGGGGTGCCACCATTTCAGTTGCACACGCCCATGATTGTCTACAAAGCAAGCGCCATGCCTGCACCATCACACATTATAGCTAAAAATCAAGTGTACTGTGCATGTCTAGTTCTCCATATGCTTCGAGATTGTACAAAAGCTAAAACTAGATGGAATAAACTGTTTCAATTTCAAACATTGTCGTAGCTCAGAACTGTCTCAATCAGACATAACATACCGATCGAATCCTATCAAATACATTTTGTACCTTCACATGCTGGCCACCTTTAGCTTCAAAGGAATAAACCACATTTATAAATAAAAAAAAAGTAAACACATTTCTGATTAAGGAGCATCATTCTTTAGAACTAATATTTGGACCCAAGCAAGGAGGACAAAAGCATGAAACTTGACTCGCATTAGCTCAATATGCAGAGCAAGATTTCACTAAGCTTACAAATGAGCTCAAAAGCAACACATAAACTGCCAGAAGGTACAGGAAGAGGGCACAAATAACATGGCAACTTCTAAGTGGATTGTGAAAGGGAAGAGGGGACAGAGAATCTACACATGAAAGAGCTAAAGGGATGTATACAAAGAATGGCACTGATTGAATGCTTTACTATACTTCTATATACCTAGAATTTCGTTTTGGACATATAAAAATGGGTGGCCAGAAGAAATTTCCACCCCTTGTGTACAAATTATTTTATGGGAAAAAAATATAAAATAAGATGGAAGCTCACCGGTAAAAATTTGCCCAGAATCAGGTGATGGTCCTCATGAAGACTTATCCTCCATAGACTGCGTAGGATTTGAAGAATCTATATCTTTTTCAAGTTCAAGCAAAGGTTTTGTAAGAATTTGCCAATTAAAAGTCACGCTATCTGGAACAATGCAATCTTTAAGCATCTTTTCCATTAGTTTAAATGCCAAAATCTCACAGGTCACGCCCGAGAACTCACACCCCAGCTCAGTCATCTCGTGCACCATCCCAACCGCCTCCTCAACCTTCCCCTCCCGAAAGAACCCTTTAATTAAAGTATTAAAACTAACCACATTCGGAACACATCCTTTATTTTTCATCTCCTTTAACACCT